AAGACAAATGAGTTAAGTAAAGTTACAAGGAATAAATCAATCAAATAATACCAAAAGGATTTCAAAGGTAAATATATGAATTCAATTTATAATTGAGTTAAGGAGAAGTTCAAAAATGATTTCTGCAAATTATTACCAATTCATCTTAACCGTTCAATAATTAATCAATATTCAAATAAAGTCTATTAAGGACTACCTATATTATTGGACCACTCTAGTAATTGAATTATTCTTTTAAATTTTTAAAATTGAAATTTTTTCCAGATTTCTTGCCCAAACAACACATTTGGTCATTGACATTAAAATAAATTATCTTCTAAAAAAATTTCACCCAAACACACTATTAAATATGACAACGTGTGTTTGTTTTACATAGCATAATATACCATCATATTATCTTTAGTTGTAGTTTTATGCTCTGGAGTATTTATTTCTTTTACTGAGTTAAAGCGATGTGCATAAAATACCCTTAAGAACAAGCATATTCTACGAAACAACAATGCGAGTAGAAATGATTCCATTTATCACTAATGATGATTATCAATTTCTAGAATTTCTTATGTTGTCTGTGTAAATAAATAAAAAAAGGTACTAAAGTGCGATAATACGTACAAAACAAAACTAGTGGATAGAATGTCTAGACATATAATTTCAAACGAACCCGAATCTTTTTTGCAAATACCTAAACTTCAAAAAATCCCAAATATTAGCCATAAACAACAAATATCCCTCCCCCCCCCAAATAAAAATATTCTATATTCATTTAATAACCTTAATTGAAGAAAGCTTGTCGCATAGGATAATCAATTTATATTTAACTAATGCTAACAAGTGTCTGAAACCGACTTAGAAATTAAGTGTTAGAATGCATAGAAACCGTTCTCCTATGACATTTTGATGCGCCCTCGGATTTAAAAGGTTTGTCACTAAACAATTAAATAATTAATAAGAATGATATTTGAATAGCGCAAAACCATTCAATTAAAACCAAACAAAAAGTTTCAAATACAAGTTCTACCATAACTTTGTTTAACAAGGTAAGAACCAACAATTATGCTTAAAAATACATTAATAAAATAACAAACTTCGAAGGAGAGAGGATTTCACCGTCAAACTCAACTTGTCTTTCTAAACCGTCTCATCTAGGCTTTCTGAAAATCATTGCTCCAAGTCTTTAGACAAATAGATAGCACAAAAGGATGAAATAGTCTTATCCTTTAAAAAGAGAGAATAGGTTCACAGGATAACGCATATGGATTAAAAAAGAAACATCAAAATGTATTATTGTGTTCCGATTTCTCCTAAATATTTGTCTTACAAAATTAAATACAATTCATGCAATTTTAATTTTCCCTATTTATGACAAATCGAAGACAATTCATGCACTATGGATTTTTTTCTCTACGATTCACAAGTCAAAGACAATTCATGTGACATTTCATCACATAAATTCTTGATTATTGGCCCATTTTATCACAAATTTCTTACGAACTATTTACAAAATTAAGTTAAAAATACATACGTAAGTTTTATACTTACCACAAATATTCCCTAATTTTAATTTAAATCAAGTCAATCGACACACTATTTCAATTTCAAATTAATGTTAAACATGTATATTTCATCGGATATACACAGCTATAAAGCACGCACACAAATATATCCATATAAGATGCGATGAATATTTTATTAAAAGATAAAAATAAATATTTACAATACAAAAATAAATTAAGATTAAATGACAATCATGCAACTTGGTCAATAATGTTAAGGTATCTTTTAATATTAAACCATTGGTCCCATTTCAACTTTTCATCCTCTCATCAAAAACAATCCTCAAAACAAACTTTTTACAACAATTTATATATTGTAGAGCTACTCACCGAGATAGGTATTACTTTGGATAATATGCACTTTCGGATGATTGAGCACATAACAAAAATCTTTCGATAATAGTCATCATAGGTGTAAACTCCATCCATCCCAAACCTCCATCAAACATAACATTCGCTTTACTATACCCACAATTCAAAATACTTTGATCCTTCCACTTTGTCAAACAAAAACCTCAAAGAGAAGAGAAACTAAAACAATATATGTGCATGTAATGAATTGCCTCTGTAGGCTAAGTGTCGTGGATGGGTTGCTTTGATCTTTAAATTCAAGGTCATGCGCCAAGATTTAGGTTCCGTGTCTTCTCATATTGATGATATGTATTATTGTGTAGGAAGCACCTAAGTTAAAGTAAATCTTGAGTCTTTCCCTTTCCACACCTTATAATCGGAGATCCTAGAAAATTGGTAATTTACCGATCCATTTTCCAATCCTTGGACATTATCCAAATCTTACACAACAAATAAAATTATTTGTGGGCATAGCAACATGTGAAATACAAATCCAGCCACACTTAAAATTGACAAACCTAATATTTCATGTCAAAACCTGCTTTCTACCAATCGAAATAATAAAAATAAATAATAATAATAACAGCTTATGCTTACTGCATTAGCCATCCAGTGACGAAATCCAGAAAATGATGTTGGATGGGAAGTGGATGCTTTACATCTCTTAGCAACCAATCTCCCAACTGTAGCAATTAATAGATTTATCAATTATACTATGAGCATTTTAAAAATGCATCAATTGATGCAAAAATCATGAAAGCATTGCTAAAGGCTCTCATCTCAAATTTAATTCTTTAGAAAACAAGACCACACCGCAATGGTTGAATGAAAAATAAAATCAAATAAAGTAAATAATGTAGTAAACAAGCCAGGAATTGTTGTTGAACCGGTTGACAGCTTGACTACCATTTAATGGGTATTGGAATATTAAGAAATCTCAGATAACAGTTAGCCATCAGTTCAAATTTCCGCTGAAAAAATCATTGCGAACAGCTACAATGTAGTTCGTGCATGAGTAAAAAAAACTCAAACATTATGTAAAGGTGAAACAGTATTTGGTAACTTCTGTATAAAGTGGACAAGGACAAATTAACATTATCTAGGAAACCCTGCAAGATAAATTCCTCCATTTCTCCAAAAAACACCAGAGACCTTACTCCTAAACATTCTTCAATCAAAACAGTTCACCATAAATTTAACAGAACATCGAGAAAGTAATGAATAATTCAAAGTCATAATATACCACACATCCCATTCTAAGAGAAGGATGGGCGAGAGAATTAAGAAATTATTAGCACAGTAAAAGTACATAATTCAGATCTTAAATATCTATAAACATGAAACGGAAAAACACATTGTAACTAACCAAGTTTTGCTTTGTACCTCTAGAGAGACTGAAGGAACAACTAATTGAAGTTCTATACTTTAAGATATACTGGTAACCTCCTCAACCTGCTTGCTTTGATACTTGATACTGCAGTGACATTTGCAGACAAATATCATAAAAAAATTCTTGTATTTATCAAAACTTCAATCTTCAGACGATGAATAGATATGATAATAAGATAACTGTTGCTAACTTTCCACTTCTTGCATTGATGAATTCTATACTCTTAGCGAACAAACACTAGAGGGATGAAAGGCTGAAAGTTAGTTGTTTATTCCTTGTTATGGGGAAGAGAGATGAAAAATAAACACTGTTAAGTAAAAAGGGCAAAAATAGGCTTAAAGTACAGTAATTAGCATCCTGTAAAACACTTAGAAGTTTATGGAACGTCAGCTGACAATTTGGTTTTGGCTTGCCACAAAAGAGTCATCAATACAACGGTGTCTAGTGAAACCAAGAGCAAAATATGTCTAATCAAACAAAACACAACTCTTAAACATCACACATTATTAGGGGGTACTTTTTAACAAGTAGATATGATGGAAAAAAGAAAATCTTGTTTTTCACTTTTATGATGTTTTGATGTTCACAGTTTAAAATGGGATTACAATAGCTCATAAACATTGCTAATGCAAAAGGATTCCGTCATGGCCTATACATCAAGAATTCGAACCCATGAAATTTTTGGCAATTCACTTCACTTGGATTCAAGATTTAGAAAATTCAGCTATCACAACAAATAAATTCTAGTATATAAATCCATTACTTCTGATCCAATAAAAAAAAATGTTTCCTTCTAATAATTGATTATTGTCCTCGGCGAAGAGGTCAGAGCCACTTAAAATTCAAAGAAGTGATGATTGATAACATAAAATTGTTGCATCTACAATAAAATAATTCATAGTAGATAATGCCATTCACAAAATTAATTTTTGGAGAATACTTTAAATGCAATTGCTGAATTATATAACATTGACCAATAATTTGGGAAGGTAGCAATCTTAAGATGAATAAATACACAACAAAGTATTACAAACCCTCCATCAACACCAACCACACAACCCAAAAAAGGAAAACAATACTAACATACATTAAAAATCAGTTGAGCTAGTGGGATAACTTCAGATTCTAGACTCTTTCACACACATAATAAATATCTTCATTCCTTAATATCCAAGATATCAAAGGAATGCATTACCTTTTAATGCATAATGTCACCCAATTTCTTTGGAAAGATGCACAGAAGGTCTTCTTGCACTTCACACCAACAGTCTCTTGCAAACACAATGTGAATATTAAAATAGAAAGAAGAGATAGCTGCTAGAAAATCCATAGTGCTTTAATACTCAAAACCAGATAAAATTTGTTTACAAATATGCCAATGGAAATATGTTACAATGTTTCAGCAGACACTGACAATTCCTAATTTTAGAAGCCAATAATGCCACACCTTGAGCAGCAAGCTATGTCCCAGATGCATTTCTATATAATGATCAAGCATCAAGAATGTTAACCTGAAATAAATCGGGTTCCCAGGGAAGTAATACATCTCCGCGAAACCAATAAGTTCCTGTTAAAAAACAGCAGGAGTGATCGTCTAAGAAACATGCTTCCAACTTCCATTCAGTGCATACCCTCACCTCATACACTAAAACATTCATCAGTGTGTTAGAATGGCTATTGAGACATAGCATTAGTATGCACCATTCTCAGCCAAAAATTCCACCAGTCCCTGATTCACCCTGCTGCAACTCCTTCCGCCGCTGCTCCTCTAGAGGATCTGGACTCTTGTACATTCTCCGCATGCGCCTATTTATATGAAGAAATCATAAAAACTGGTTAAAAATGAAAATTGTATATATAGACTCAACAAATATTTCACACAACTGTCCTCCTCTGTCAAGACTAGGGAACAGTTATGTAATGTTTTTGGCATATAAACTGCTCCGGAACCATGCAATTAATATACCTGTCCTGAGCATGTTGGGCAGGAAATGTAGGCATGAATTCTTTACTTTTGGGAAGAGGAACCTCACGGAACCACTCATGATTTAGAGCAGCTTCAGCAGTGATACGCTGCATAAAATAGTGTCTTATCTTAATATTCAGACAAATATTTATTAACAAACTAATTCATGTAGCTCTGTAAACTTTACCTTTTCAGGGTCATATGTTAGAAGCTTGTTCAACAAATCAAACCCTGAATCAGAAAGAACAGGAGATCCAGTGAATGATGTGGCAGGGAACTTTTTACGCAGGAGGTTGTACCTGAAAGGAACATTCGGGCAGTTAATATAAAATAGAAAAGTTGTTCAACAGTACAAGTCACCAAGGGAGGCCAGATAGTCAGACCAGAACCACCCAAAGTTGGAAGCCTGGGAAAACAGTGGCAAAACATAAGCACAATATAATCAAACAATAATTTTCTAAAAAAAGGAAACTGTAAGCACTTACTGGTGTTTGACAAAATTGACCTTGACTCCAGGTAATTTTGAGAAACCAGGCCATATTGCTTCATTTGGAGTGCCAAGAATCCGAAAAATCTACAAGTAGAACAATGGAAATCAACAGTGTAAAACAACCACCAAGTAGTTAAGGGCAAGACAGCAAGGTACATGGAAACAGACAAATGATGCAAGAACGTATCTGATATAAAGATAATAACGTTATCGTACCTTGTCAAGTTGATCAAACTCTGTTCTCCCATTGAACAGTGGTTCCTTAGACAATAGCTCAGCCATTATACAACCTAAAGACCACATGTCTATGGCTGTTGAATACTGTTTTGCCCCCAGAAGAAGTTCAGGTGCCCTGAGAAACAAATAGACAACCATTAGGTAAATGATCTCATTTCTGCAAGAGAATGTAGTCAAACATTCATTGAGAAAAACTTGTAAAATGAAGGCAAGTGCAACAAATGAAACACCGTAGTGTGATGACAGACTATACGCTCATATCTAAAAGTATTGATGCTTGCATAAAAAGGATGGATAAGTATGTACATATTGACCTAAAGTAACAAGTAATTAGCAATGAGGCTACTTTGTTATTATTACATCATAATAATAATAATAATAATAGCTTCAAACAAATTATAGTTTCATTACAATAATTGAATATATGAGAACATTGCTACATGGTGTTCAAAATTCATCAGAAAACAACTAACTATACTTTAGAATGTAATACAAAATAGCATATGATGTAAATAGACAATATACAGAGAAAATAAAAAGAGAGAGAATCAAATTTCATATATGATTAGAGCTTACCTGTACCAAAGCGTAACCACCAGGTGTGTATAGGGCTTTAAAGGACTCCCATACTGACGAGCCAAGCCAAAATCACAAATTTTGAGCTCACCCCTATTATTTAGAAGCAGGTTTGAAGTCTTTAAATCCCTATGAAGCACCCAGTTATCATGAAGATACTTCACACCTTCTAAAAGCTGGATCATCAAGCACTTCACTTCACTCTGGCTGAAAGGTTGCTTCATTGCTTCCATTAGTCCTTTAAGGTCATGCTCCATATATTCCATGACCATGAAAATGCTATCAAGGCTACTTCCTACCACTACTTCTTTAACATCAACTATGGATGGGTGGTGAAAAGAAAGAAGAATGTTTATTTCCCTAAGAGAAGTCAGTGGGAAACCCTCTTTTTCTTTCTCCATCTTGACTTTCTTCAACGCTACAATTTCTCCAGTTTTTTTATCCCTAGCCCTATATACAACACCATATGTTCCTTCATCTATCTTGTTAAGTCTCTCAAACTCATCAACACTTCTACAACCCTGAAGCATGTTGACAGTTCTTTGAGGTGGAGAAGGAGGTTCTGGAGTCTCCCGGCCATCATCTTCATCTTCATAATCCGTGTCTGAGTGACTGACACTGTTTTCACTTTTCCCACCTTGAGCATCAACCTCCATGAAGTCATCCTTCTCTGACTCAATACCAGGATGATCATCACCACTGGAAGTTCTACCACGGACACCTCTTTCTTCAGATTCAGATGATCTGGCTCTAGCTCCTTCAATACCTTCTATCTTAGATTCCTCAGGGCTCAATAGCTTGTTCCTTAGTCTGCCATCCAATAGCTCAGGAGACACCTTCCTCCGCCTTTTGGGTATTTCCTCATCATTGAGGATCTCACCCTCATCAACAGGGGAGTTATCTCCAGCTGCCCATCTTGAAGACGATATATTGCGAGTTGGAACATAATCTTCACCTTCTAGATGTTCAGCTTCTTGATCATCACCCCACCTCCCTTTCGGAGGCGATGAATGCAAACCTGAAGGAGAGGGCAATATAATCTTAGATGCTGAATTCAACTGGAGATTCTCAGTCTCCCTGTTCTTGACAGGATGTATTTCAACTCCACTATTCAAAGCATTTGGTGACAGTGACTGACGGAAAACCTTTGGCAATGGAGGCGGAGGAGGAAGAGCTGCTGTCACCACCGCAGAGGCAGAAACCCTAACTTTGGATGACTCACGGACATCCTTGTCATCCTGATCCCACACAATGGGCGAAAATTTCCTTTTCCTCTCAGGCACCGGCGAAGACTGGGTTCTGGTTTCTTCCAACGTGGCAACCTCGGAGTGTTTGGGCCCCGATTCTGATTCAATAGCATCATCAGAACCACTCTCACTGGAAAGCTCACCAGGCTCTCTATCCATTGCCTTGACAGAGAAACCACACCGGCGAGGACCAAGGCCACTGCTGCCAGAGTCACTCCTACTCGAAGAGGATCGGTAACCGCCATTAACACCTTCCCTCTCCTTAATATCTCTCTGCCTCACCCTAACCTTGTCCCTGGACCCACCCCTCACAACATCACCCCCACCATTCCTAACACGATCGTAATCCTCTTTCGAATTCGCGAATCCACGTCTAGACCCTTCGAGTTTCGATTCGCGCTCTCTGAATTCGTTATCGCGGTAACCGCCATGTCTCCCAGCCGCCATATATCTCTAGCTACCTAAATGCGTGAATTACAAGGGAAAACCCTAATTCCCCTTTGGAATGACTTTTTTTGTTTTTTTTTTTTTTTACAGAACCCTAAACCCAGAAGACAACAAATCCGTGGAATTTCCAAACTGAAGAAGAAAGCGTGCGAGATCTGATGGTGATTGGAGATCACAAAACAAGGTAAAATAGGAAAAAGATGGAATGGAAAAAAAGTAGGAAGGTAGAAAGGGGATTAGAGTCGAAACCCTAGAAATTTAGGAAGAAGCGTAGGAGAATAACAGATTGATAAGGCTTACCGATGATGATGATGAGGAAATTGGATATTAAAAGGGAAAGCGCCAGAGAGGCAACGCAATCGAATAAGCGAAGCGATGCGATGCTGTGCGGCTGCGAGGAGAAGAGAAAGAGAGAGCGACACCCTTCTTGCACAAAGAAAAATTGGGCCCAAAAGAAACATGGGTGACAAAACTGGATATTATCGGGGGCGAGCGACTCCGTTTTTTCCAAAATGTTTTAAAACAAAATATATTAATATAAATGTGTGCCATAAAATAAATATTATTCTATATAATAAAAAAAATATTTAATATATAAGTTTTTTAAACATGTGATGAACAAATCAGATATTATTACAAGGAGATCTTACTTAAAATTTTATGTAAAAGTTTGTGAATTCTGTTAAAGATGGGACGTTGTTTTCCACAAATTTTTATATTGGAGTTTTTAAGAATTTATGGGATTATTTTTATCTAAAGTCATTTGAAGTATTGTGGTGTGATTCTCCATCTCTTTATTATATTTTTTTTATTTCATTATACTTATTTGAAGTAGTATGGTTTAATTCTTCATTTATTTTTTATTATATTTTTTTATTTTATTGTCTTATTTATTATCTTAATTTTTTTTTCTTATTTATTCTTGAGCTTGTGAGTGAGTGTTTAAATATAATGGATTTTTTCAAACAGTGCACCTTACAAGATCAAAAATTTTTAAGTGAAACTTTATCACAAAGTACACATTGATAACTCTAACTAATAACCAAAATCTTAACCATCTTAGCAAAGATTGTAGCTCATAACACTAGTAAGACACATTATTAAAACAACAATTTACAAAAAAAAGAAAAAAGAAAAAAAGAATAGGAACAAGCTCACTTATAATTATTTTATTCAAGTACAAGATATTTAAGACCTCTTATATTTTCTATCTCTGTCTCTCTTCTCAAGGCATTTCTCTTTCTTGGGATTGTTGGACACTTTATTTTCATATGTTTTTGCTTGCCACAACCAAAAACAAGTGAAACTAGAAGAAACAATTTCAAATTTCTTAAAGTTGAACTTATTGTATTGTTTTTATTTTTGTTAGAAATATTGAATATTTCATGACCAGTACGAAAAATCTTTAACTTCACTCTTCTTCTTTTTTTCATTTTCATCTTCACTTAAATCTTCTTCGTCATCCGTTGTGGCTAATGATAAACATTTCTTCCTTTTAACCCTTTATAAATAATATTGCAACAAATTTTAATTAAATGAAACAATGTTGTTTAAGATAGTGAAAAAAACAAGAACTAAGACATGATATTTATACTTGTTCACTTTACTAAGAAAGCTACATCTAGTTTCCACACACACTATTGAGCTAATCTATTTTATAATTTTCTTGGTTTATAAAGCACTTATAAGACCAAATGACACTTAATTGAAATTCTATTACAAAATACACCTTGCCAATAACCAAAATCTTAACCACCCTAATGAATATCACAACCTCACCACGTAGTAAAACATACATATACATAATGCAATAATTTACATAAAAGAAATAAAAGCAAGTTCATATTGAATCTTTTGATTTGAACACAAGAATATAGATAAAAAGGTGAACCACTAGTATGATTTGATCTTGATTTAATCTTGGAGTGAATTCAACAATTCTTTAAGCACAAAAGTAACAATGTGAGTTTATGGGCGCTAATAGTTTTAATACAAAATTATGTTTTAATATGTTAAAACTATATGGAAAATAAAGTTTTAAAATTTTAATTTGTTAATTCAAGCTTTGAACATCTTAAAATCATTGAAGATCTTATTTTAAATGATTTTTATCAATTAAAAAGTCGATTTATTCAATTAACACTATTAGAAAAATGGTTAATAGTGATAAAAAATTTAGTCAGTAATAATAATTAAATCAGTAATTAATTTTTTTTAATATTTAGTGATTAATTTAGTGACTAAAATTTCAATTACAAAACAAATATTCACTAAATCAATAACTATTTTTCATTTATATAAATTTTTTTAAGAAATATTTTAATAATATATAAAATATAAATTTATTTAATAACTTAAAATAATTAATAATATATTTAATAACATATTAAATGTTTTAAAAAATAGTTTAATAACGTATTAAATATATTAAATAATTTAGTAATATAATTATTTGATTATATTTTTTAATTTAGCATGTGAATAAAAATATTTAAAATTAGTTATTAAATTAGTACTTGATTTGATTACTTGGTTCGGTCATTAAATCAATCATTGAATCGGTCATCGATTTAGTGACTAAATCAATTATTAATTTAGTCTTTTTTATTTATTTATATATATATATATATATATATTATTTGTATGTTAACAAAAATATATTTTAATGTATATATAAGAAACTTAAAATTATTTAATTACTAAATTGATATTTTAAATTTATATTAATAAGTCAATTAGGTAATTTAATGGTTGGTTAAATATTTTAAGTTTATATTAATCATTTTTACATATAAGTGGAAAGACTAATTAAACTTATTTTAAATATTTAAAATTTAATTAAACATAAATAATATAATCTAATATTAATAATTTTAGTTAAAAATATTTTTAAGTTATCACATTTATTTGAAAAAAATCCATTTTAAAAAAATAAAATAATTAATTAAAGTAAAAAGATTCAATTTAATAAATGGGTTAATATTACTATTGAAAGTCCCACATCGCCTACCTCATGTCATTTGGTATAGTTTAAATATATGTTAGGCTACTCCACATATTGCCAATTGGTTTTATGTTGGAACTTTAACATGGTATCAGAGCCAAAACCTAACATCTTTCCGGTTATTGTCATGGGCCAAAAGTTGCCCTAGTTGGGTCAAAAGTACCATTTGTCTGGTCCAACAGGCTTCGTTGGAGGGGTGTGTTGAAAGTCTCACATCGCCTACCTCATGTCATTCGGTATGGTTTAAATATATGTTAAGCTACTCCACGTATTGCTAATTGGTTTTATGTTGGAATATTAACAATTACTATTCATTTGAGAATTAAATATATAGTAATAATTATGTAAAATTATAGAATTAATAAAATTTAAATTATTATGACTTTTTTTAATTAAACATAAATAACTTTAAATAAAAATCATAAGATTTAATTATTAAGTGTCAACACGTAATTTTGTGAAGTAAAAAAAATAAATAATAATAAATAGCAGCATTTATTTAAAAATATGAAAAAAAATAAAAAAATAAAAAAGATTAAAAAGAAAAAAATAGTTCTATTTTTTTAATATTTTAGTTTTTAAAATTCAAAAAAAAAATATGATTGAAAAAAATAAAAAATAATTTCTTTTGTTAACATATTTTTTGTTTTAGAGAAAAATAATTTCCATCAATTTTCATCTTTTCCTCTCACCCACACGACCACTCTTCACCTCACTTGCACGTCTCGCAGCACTCAAACTCACTCATTCCTCCATAGTGAGTTTTACTCGTCTCCACTCGTGATCCTTCTCCCCTTCACTCAACACCAAATATCTCTTCTATATACCTTTACTTAGACTCATTCCCTTCTCTCTTACCCCACAACTAACCATCTCAACCTTCCCCACACCCTCACTGAGTCTCCTTGAACACAACCCCGCGTTTCACTCACTAGAGCCACACCAGCACCATTCCCATCTCTAAATCGTTACGCTCCGCCACACCAGAACTCAGTTGCGCCACCCAGCACCTAATCATTCTTGCCGCACCACTTTGAACCCTAACTTGCAGCACCACACCCTTTACTGGAGCCACCACGCCTTGTCGCAACCACCACAATTCTCCCTTTATCTAGTCACGAGGCCAATGATCCTCCAGCTCCTTCTCCCCCTCAGAGTCACGCCTTCACCATGACAAGCGCATTCCCAGCCCCTTAGCGTCGCCATGAGGTCCCCATTATGAGTCGTTCACCCCCCCCCCCCCACTTTCGTTGCTGACCACCATGGCTCGCACCCTTACCACGAGCCCTACATCGTGAGGCCATCGCTACCACCGCACGAGGCATCTCAAGCCCTCACTTTGGGCGCGACCTAGCTCGTCGCGAGGGTCTGATTGTATTTTTCTCTTCCTTTTTTCATTGTTGTGTTTATTCATTGTGTTTTTGCTGCTTGGTTTTTACACTTCTGCATTAATCTGCTTGGATGGGAATTGCTTTGTTTGTGGCCAGTTTATTTTATTTTATGCAGGACTTGACCAATTTTCATTTTTGACTATTGGGTTTGCTTGGGACTGTTTTGATTTGTGTTTAGTGTTGGAAAAACAATAATAATAATAATAATAATAATAATAATAATAATAATAATCCTGATTTTGATTCTAACAATCAAACATAAACATAATCCCATACTGATAAACATGCTGTAAACTGAATGCGAAAGCATACCTGAATTAGCCATAACGATGATGTCTTTGTAGAGCACTATATTGATCTTATGGTCTTCCACCTGAAGAGCACCTGTATTTCCCTCTTGATTTTCTCTCTTGATGGGGATAGAGAGAAAGGAACGGGAATGTAACTACGTTCTGTCTGTGTGCTCTCAGAAGGGGACCATGACCCTTTAGATAACCAGAATTAGGTTAATTACTTAAGTTTTAGTATTTCCAATTTGGCCCTCATCAAATTAGAAATTGCTCTATGGTCTCTACACAATTTTATTTTCATGACATATGCTTTTAGCCAAAACTTTAATTTAGTCAGATCACTTTATTATTTGGCTTAATAAATAATGGCCCTAACACATTTAAATATGTATCATATATATACATGACCCAAATTTTTCCAACAATCTCCCACTGGTCACAAATATATATGTCCTTACAACCTTACAAATGTGTTAGACTTTATGAGCTCAAAGTGCCATTATATTCCTTTAGCATACTCCAAAAGTCCTGTCCATTAATCATATTAGGATATAGAACCAAACCAGCTTTTCATTGCATCATCGCAACTAAAACCAACAATGATTACTCATCCTAACATAACCAAATGACATGGATTCATCATGAAATGTGTAGCATGAAAAATTACGTGAAGGTGATCTGTACACGTCTATTTTCAAGCTGGTCCAAACTTTAAGTTATTGAGATCGATATAATATCCTTAATGTACAAAGTGTAATGAATGAACGAAAAAACCGCATATCTATAGATAACCAAATATGTCCAAAAAAACAATGTATACATATATGAAATTAAACATAGAACATAAAATATATCAAAGTGACTAACTCCCACTAAACCACAAATTCCTCAAGCTGTAAAACACCCATGTGAGCAAAATGCTCATGAAAGACCTTGGGCGGAAGTCCTTTAGTCGGAGGATCTGGTATCATGGAGTTTGTCCTTAAGTGTTCTATGAAAATCAGTCCACTTTGTACTCTTTCCTTAACAATACAACTGATTTATTATCACAATATAACTTAAGTGGTCTTTCAATGCCTTTCACAATTTGCAGCCCTGTGACAAAATTTATCAGCCATATTCCATGATTTGATACCTCATAGCAAGTTACAAATTCTTGACATTCTACAAAATCTGAGTCAGAAAACCCAGCGATCTCCAACTGGTCTGACCTCCTATATGTGAGCATATAATCTTTTGTTCTCTTTAAATATCTTATGACCCTTTTTGCTGCTTTTCAATGGTCTATTCCTGGATTGCTTATCTGCCTAGAACCCCAACTATATATGCTATGTCTTGATGCGTATATACTTGGGCATAGATCAAACTCCCTACAACTGATGCATAAGGAATCTTTTGCATTTCCTCAATTTCCAAATTCCCTTTGGGCACTGATTGAGACTAAACTTGTCTCCTTTAAACTTGTGATACATACAATCATCAACAATATTCATCTTGAAGCCAAATGAGTTTCATACCTTCTAGTAATGGGACAAGTTTCCAAACCTTATTGTCTTGCATGGACTTATACTTATCCTATTGCTTCAATCCACTTTTGAGATTTAGAACCTTATATAGCTTGACGGAAGTTAACTGGGTCATCTTCCATTATATCATTATTTTCCTCATGTTCCTGAAGAAATACCATGTAATCATCCGAAATAGCACTTCTTCTTTCTCTAGTGGATCTCTCGCAAAGTTATTAGCTCATGATGCACAGGTTCTTGAGGATCTTGAGTTTGTTCTTCATGAACAACCAAATCATCTTGAGTAAGGGGTTTATCAACAATGTCTTGTGGAGGTTAGAACTTACTTTATCAAAAGTAACTATTTGAATTGGTTACGAAATTGTTACCGATTCTTCCTCCAAGATGAAGTTCTTAATCTTATTCTTCCCCCCAAACTCAATATCCTCAAAGAACGTAGCAGTTCCAGTCTCAAAAAATTGTCTTTAATGTGGGATCATAATATTTATATCCCCTAGATCTTTCAACATAACCAATAATATAACCACTTACTTGTTCGGAGTCCAATTAAACTAATTATGCTCACATTATATAAAAAATAAATAATATATATTCAAATAGTGGTTTAACCCATCTCAAGATACCCAATGCACCATCAATATCAAGTCTTTGGACGAGTAATATTAACTGCTAGAGGTATCTTGTTGTAATAATCAAACATTGACAATAAAGCACGTCCAACAACAAACCAGTCTTTGGATTGATTTATCATCGACAAAGCAAATCCTTATAATTATCACATGTTTATCATTACAAGTGTGTATGCAATTCGGGCAAATATTAATCTTCCTTTGGGTCGACTAATACTCGCATGAATATACACAAACACTAACATTCAATATTTTTCATGAACTGCCCAATTCAAGAGAAGTTACTTTGGTGACTTCTTGACTCAATTTGCTCACAAAAAATATTAAACTACCAAAAATTGAATATTTTATTTATATAACAAAACTAAATATTTAATATTTGCAAACTAATTCAAAAGAGAATCACCTCATTATAATTCTACTAAGGATGAACACCTCCCTAGAATCTCATTAGGGATGAACACCTCATTTGAACAAATCAAAGGATGAAAAAAAGGCCTCATTTTCCACCAATACATAAAGGATGGACATCTTCCTAAAATCACACTAGGGATGAAACGAGAGATAGTTACGAGTCTCTTTAGCATACTGCTCTAAACCCTAAAAGGGAATTAAACGAGTAATCACTCGGACCTCTAATTTAACATCAAATTTTCTTTAAATTCCTAGGGGATAGAGGCAATAAAATAATAACGACCAAACATGTGGAAACATTCATCATTTACCTAAGATTCTCCGTATTGGGAACTCCACAAACACCACCCCCAATTCCAAACTCATAAAATTAAATAAAAACAAAAGATTCAAAAAGAACGAGAGAATCCAATACAAGAAAAATTGAAATATGAAACACTTGTTTCTTTCTCAATAAAACTTGAAACTTAAACTGAAACAAAAGTGAAAAACGAAGAAGAAGAAGAATTCATAGCTTCCTCCACGGTTCCATCGGCAGCGAGAATCAGATTGGGGATGTTACCCCCAAATTTAAATTTTAGGGTTCACAAAAATTAGAGATTATCCTCCACTTAGGGTTCATAAAATTGGGTAATCGAATTGTTTAAAACAAAATTAATCCTAATTTTCATAATTAGGGTTCTATAAATTAAACGAGACATGAATCAAATATGGGCGCTCGATACTAATTGTTGAAAAAACAATAATAATAATAATAATAATAATAATAATAATAATAATAATAATCCGATTTTGATTCTAACAATCAAACATAAACATAATCCCATACTTGATAAACATGCTCGTAAGCTGAATGCGAAAGCGTACTCGAATTAGCCATAACGATGATGTCTTTGTAGAGCACTATATTGATCTTATGGTCTTCCACCTGAAGAGCACCTGTATTTCCCTCTTGATTTTCTCTCTTGATGGGGATAGAGAGAAAGGAACGGGAATGTAACTACGTTCTGTCTGTGTGCTCTCAGAAGGGGACCATGACCCTTTAGATAACCAGAATTAGGTTAATTACTTAAGTTTTAGTATTTCCAATTTGGCCCCTCATCAAATTAGAAATTGCTCTATGGTCTCTACACAATTTTATTTTCATGACATATGCTTTTAGCCAAAACTTTAATTTAGTCAGATCACTTTATTATTTGGCTTAATAAATAATGGCCCTAACACATTTAAATATGTATCATATATATACATGACCCAAATTTTTCCAACATTTAGATCTATATTGTGGTTACCTGGATCTCTGTTTACAGCCTATGGTGGCCTTGCTCGTCTTTTGGTAAAGCAAGTGTTATTTGACGTGTTCCACTTGTTCACTTGTTATGTTTATCTAATATGTTTTTGGACATCAAATTTGAATGTTGCTTTGGATGTATTGTGACTCATAATATGTAAAGATACTTAGGTTATGAGGTTGTGCAAAATGTCCACAAATATGAATCCGGTATGCTTGTGTTGGTATTATTGATGTTTCTAACTCTCGATATGGTGTCCATAAAAACTACAACGAAGTTATGAGTAAATAGTTAATAAAATTAATTTAAAACATATATTTAATAATAAAAGTGTTAACTAAGTTCACCTGATGAGGTTGAATATGATCAATCTTTACTTAGTATCCAACCAGATCATTGTGTGGTACATTATAAAAGTTTAAAACCCTACCCCCACTCCATTTGGACACTAATGGATATGTTGGTTGTAAGCGACTAATTGGTGCAATATGTGGTATGTGATGTCATGCCCATGATTGTAATAGTGAAGCATAACCTCCCATTGTTTTTGTCCTAACATCGGTTGCTTTACACATTTCCCTATACAACATAGCTAAACATGCAGAACCCTAACTATATCGCTTGATTCTATGTAAATTAGTCAATAACTATAAATACATGAGGTGTACTTCGTTACCTCTTTTGTCAGGCATCAAAACACCTCTGATTAACCCTAATATATATGCCCTAGCATGGGCATGCAGTTGCTCCTCTGATGGTTCCTTTGGTAGTGGCAACATCTTA